TTTTAACCATTACAAGACTTTGTTAAAAGTATGTGAAGTTATACTCTACCCCACACTGGTTTTTTTCCCCTAAGAAGTCTGTAATTTGGCCAAACTGTCTTAGGTTTGGCAAGAGCCACAACGTCACATCACAAATTATGCCATAGACAGTTTCTCAAATGATGGTTATAAAGCATGGGGAAAAAAAATCTGACTCTCCTTCTATTTTGGCCTCCAATATGATTTTATCCTGTCTGAAGATTCTTTCCCCAAGAAACCCAAGATAGAAAATTTCAGATCCAGTGGCTGAAGCTGAACAGGACGACAACTATTTGAAAGCAGAATTTCATAACAGAACATGCCAGGTAACCTTATGAATATGTATTACTAAATAGAAATAGAGAATATGGAGGTGGAATGCAAGACAGCCTCCCATCATGGATGTAACAAGCAGTTCAGGTGACAGAGAAAATATAACAAAGGTTCATGAGCTGAGATGAGGACAAGGAGACATCACTCACTGAATGCTGTCACGGGCAGAACAGACTTAACTTGGGGATATTAACTGAATTTGTTACTAAAAAAATCAGAGCATGATAAAGATAAGAAGAAGCAGATCTTAAAAACATCTTCCCCCCACACCTCCCTCCTTTCCAGCTCTATCTCCTCCCCCCCAGCAGCGCAGGGAGATGGGGATGGGGATCATGGTCAGTTCATCACACACTGTTCCTACCACTGCTCAGGGAGAGGAGCCCTTCCCCTGCTCAGGGTGGGGTCCCTCCCACGGGAGATGGTTCTCCATGAACTTCTGCAGTGTGACTCCATCCCATGGGCAACAGTTCTCCCCAAACTGCTGCTACGTGGGTCCCTTCCCATGGGGTGCAGTCCTTCAGGCACAGCGTGGGTCCCCCCCAGGGTCACAGATCCTACAGGAAACCTGCTCCAGCGTGGGCTCCATTCTCCATGGGTCCTCATAGGGCTGCCTGGGCACCTCATCCCATTCTTCCATCCCATTCCACCTCTTCCCACAGGTGGACCTCGGGCAGATGCAGGTGAACCACAGACAGGACAGGCAGAGCCAGGCCTTGTCCCTCTGTGGTGCCCTGAGCAGTGAGCCTGTGGGACACTGGGAGCCATCACTGGGAACCATCACATAGATGTAGGGAGACCACAGGGAATGGGGCTGAGCGTTTAGCTCAGTTGCTTGGAGCACAGTGCTAAGAATGCCGAGGTCATGGATTCAATCCCAGCCAGTGGCTGTCACGGCTGGCCTGCCTAGAGAGCTCATGGGAACCATCACAGAAATATGGAGAGACTGGACTGAACATTTAGCCCAGTTGGCTGGAATGTGGATCTGCCAAGGCCACAGATGGTGGGGACACCATGTAGGACCTCCCCAGCACATCTCTGCCAGTGCAACACAAAACTGTGAAGGATCTGAGCCTTGTGCCCAAGAGGGAGCTGAAGCCCCACAGCAGCAGAAGGCAAGGAGCCAGAGCAGAGCACAGACTTCCCCTCAGGAAAGCCAGCCAAATTCTCCAGGATAAGGAGACAATATATCTAGTTAAAACTACTCTCTTCCAGAAAGATACTGATTTGTTTTCCTCACTGTACTTTCCTTTCCTCTGTCCTTTTTTCCAAGGGCAATGCAGACCCTACCAGCTGCCAGAAACCCAGGGGCTCAGCCTTGCTCAGGATCAGACCACGAAATTTTTTTAAACTTCATCTTTAGGCTGTTCAAACCTATATTCTTTCCACTTTTATTTCCCTAAACCTATGAAAATAATTGGGGCAGGGCATAATAAGAAGTTCAGAAACTTAGTTCAGAAACAATCCAAACCAGTATGGCAAAATGACGCTCCAGGATAAACTGTTGTTGTTGGGCTTTTATTTAGGCAAATTATTGCATGAGAATTTCACAACAGGCTGTTTCTTTGTGCTCTCAGCTTGACTTTTTATGCAGATTTATCCTTGAATATTTTCCACAGACTTCCTTAAACTCTGTCCAGACCAGCTTAAATTAACAATAAGTTGCAAATTATTAAAGTTGAGGCATGTTTTTAATGAAAATCCAGTCTAAAATATTTTGCCTTTTACAGCTCTAACTTTCTTTTTCTCATCTGCCTCAGCAGTGAAGTCCACGCTGGCCTCTGCATTTCCCCAGGCTGTAGCACTTCTATACATGAACTAGTTCTTGTGGAGACACCAGAGCCATCAGTGCTGCACTAAAATGCCTCCTGTGGCTCTGCTGTAAATCTGCCCTCTCTTGCCGTTGGTGCATTTCCACTTTTCCCTGCCCTTTCCAGTGCATTTCTGCTTGCAATGTTCTTTTCCTTTCCTGTGGGCTGCACCAATCTACTGTCTGTAAAGCTTATCCTGCTGTAAAGCCTGGAAGCTACTACTATTTCCTCATCTATTTTAGGAGTTCAGTTTTGTCCCTGCCTGCTTTTCCTCACCTTCATTTGTAACTTCTCTCTCTTTTTTTTTTTTTTTGCCCTGGATTTTTTTTTAAACATCGTTTTATATCTCTCCCTTTTTTTTTTTTTTCCCACAGAGTTGTGTTCTTGATCTTTTTGTCTGCAGGGACAAGGGGATCACCTGTAAAGTTAATGGAAGAGTTAATGAGGGAATGTAGGAATGCAGGAGATGGCTATTTTTAGCATGCTTCATCTTATGTAATCTTTTTTTTTCCTGTGTGGTATCAAAATAGATACCAAAATACCAAATAGAACTTGGTTTCTGATAAACCTGTTTTATGTCTCTGTGTTTTACAAGAAGCTCCTGTAGATACTGATACTGCAGCCACCATGATGAAAATAAGTCCTGAGGATCTGATCGTGTGTTCTTGCCCAGGATAAACTTTTGTGGAAGGCAGTACCTTAGGACCACAAACTGCTTACAGACAGAGCTGAAACTTTTGTTTGTGCAGCAGATCTCAGTACTGTACATTTCCTCTCTCTGTATCTAGTTCCACCTCACAGTTAAATAATAATGTTTTACCCTCTAAATGTCTTAAGCATATATATCGGTATTTCACAGCCCTTCTCAGTTCCTGTAGGGAGATAAAGCAGCTTTCTCAATGTTTCTAAGGGAAAATACAAGACACAAGCTTGAATAAATTTTAGGTGCTATACACATGTTCTGAATCAAGATAATTAAAACCCTGGACCCTCACTTGAAGAATGGACCATAATTTCTCTTTATTCCCAATATTAGGAGATAATCATCTTTGAAATTTCTACTCAAACACAGTTTAAGCCTTCAGTGAGGACTTCTGGGTGGGCCCATCCATGTTTGGTGTGGTATTCCACAGCAGGTAGATATTTCTTCATCAGTACACAAGTTATAAGTAAATAACATTCTGCAACATCTAGGGACTGAATCCAAGGCTTAGTAAGTCTCCACACTATTCCTTGACAATAGGTTGTAGTGGATGATAAAAGTTTCTGTGTTTCCAAGGGGGAGCCTTGTCTCATGGAAGGGATACTGAGGGTTATTAACACATTCAGGAGGGACAACTACATCAAAAAATCCTTGAGCCAAAAAGGGCTGTAGGCTGTGAGAGTATCAGGGAGAGATTTAATACAAGTCAGCCCTGTGCTTAAGCGCTTGTTTGAGCATCCATCTCCTGGCCACGGCCAGGAGGGAGGGTACTGCAGGAGATGGGCCCCATCTGACCTGGCACAGATGTTCTGTGCAGCAGTTCCCTCCCTGCTGCCTGCAGTAAACACCCCTCCACAGCTCAGCAAGGATAAAATACTTACCTACCCTCCAGGGGCTTTGTGAAGATTACTGCCGTGTCTGTACAATGCTACACGAGTACGAAGCATTATGGCAAGATCCCTGCTTGGGAGATTCCTCACAGATTATAAACTCGTGTACATAATGTTTCGTAGATGCTTTGAATCCAGTTCTTGGACAACCTGCTATAATTTATTCCCTCTTGCTGCTACTTCCAGAGTGTCTTAGCACACCCCAAAAGCAGGTCCAGTGGGTATGGGGGCACTCAGAGGGTTGGTGGGTCTTCCAGTACCTGGATTCTTGGTGAAGTGGTTGGGCAGAGCCTTGTACCAACAGGCAGCATGGCTAGTGAATCTAAATCAAAACATAGTCATGGGTCTAGATTCAAACCAGCAGTGCCAACACAGCCCTAATGGCAGGACCTCTCTTTATAAGTATTTGAAGGGGATGTCAGAGGATGGCGCTTCTTGGTGGTTCCAAGCAATAGGACAGGAGGCAACGGGCAGAAACTGATGCTCAGGAAGTTCCACCTGGATATGAGGAAGAACTTCTTTCCTGTGCAGTGACCAAGCACTGGAACAGATTGTCCAGAGGGGATGTGGAGTCTCCCTCACTGGAGATATTCCAGAACCGTCTGGACACAATTCTGTGCCATATGCTCTGGGATGGCCCTGCTTAGGCAGGGAAGCTGGACCAGATGACCCACTGTGCTCCCTTCCAATCTGACCCATTCTGTGACTCTGTGACCCTGCCGAAATGCAGGTCTCTGATTTGAGGAATAAACGAACAGGGACTGTAACTCAGTGACAGCTTTCCTCCCTCTCCATTTCTGAACCACAATGGCTCGCTTGTAAATCAATGGTGTGCGAGTCCCAGGGTCAGAAGACCCATCTCGTCCTCATCCCCGGGCGGGCCGGCACAGGGCGCAATTAGACGGTGCTTCGAAACCCGTTTCCTCAGGGAATGCCATCCCAGTCCCCTCCGGGAGCCCATCGGGAAGCCGGGCGAAGGGCGACCTATGCCTGTCATGAGCTTCCCATGTCCTGGCGAGCGACCTTCGGTCCGCAGCCCCCTGCAAAATTGTCTGCCGCCTGTTTGGGTTGAGGGACAGCCACATCCATCCGCGGGATGGGGACACGCCGGATGGGGACACGCTGGATGTGGACGCGCTGCCCACCCTCCCCAGGGCGGAGGAGCTCCCCGACCCCCCGGCTCTCCCCATCCCCGCGGCGGGGGCGGTCCGGGACGGAGGCGGCCCCATCTCCATCCCAATCCCCATCCCCATCCCTGCCCGCCTCCCGCAGCCAGTCGGGGCGGAGAGGCGGCACTCGAGGGCTCCTCCGCCGGCAGCCGGGCGGGCAGAGGGACACATGGCATGTCTGATGGCGGCTTTCTCCCTGGGCAGCGCTTTGGTAAGGCGCGCCCTGCCCTCTCTCCCTCCGAGGGGCGGGCGGGGGGCGAGGGGTGCGAGGCTTGGGGGGGGTGGAGCGAGGGGTCCGCGGGGCGATCCCCGAGTCGCTTCCTGAGACGCTCCCCGAGTGGCAAGCGGGGCCGGCGGGTGGGTCCCAGTGAGGGATGCGGGATGCAGGATGCGCGGTGCGGGATGCACAGGGGATGCGGGTGTGCGAGGGGCCGGCGGCGCACGGCGGGACTTGACCGCTGGTTACCTCTGTCTGTAGCTAAGGCGGGGGGGATTATCGCCGAGCATGCTCCCTGCGCCGCTGCGCCCCGCCGGCTTCCCGGAGGATTTGCGGAGGGACCGTAACCTTTGCATAACGCGCGGTGCCCGCGGGGGACGGGCCGGGCAGAGCCCCCGGGACCCTCCTGCCGCTGGGACCGGGCGGGCGCTGCCGTCCCCGCCGGGCGCCCCGAGCGGCCCGGCCCCTCACGGGAGACGCGAAACTACATGGGAAATAACCAAAACTGTGTAAAAGCAGCGGAGAGGTGAGCGGGGTCGCGGGGAGCAGCCGCTCTCGGCGTGCCTGGAGCGCAGGGGTCGGGGATGCGGGGCTGTAGCATCACAGCGGTCTGCAGGTGTTTGGGGCATACGGAGGGTTCAGGTGTTTGGGGCATACGGAGGGTTCAGGTGTGTCTGTGCCTTACAAAGGGCTCGGGTAAGTCCGTGGGTGTCGTGGCCCCGGGAGTTGCCCGTCTCTTTCCAAGCGATTGGGAGCCACTGGTGCCGTGCCAGGTACTCGGGGGACCCTCACCCGTAGCAGGTGGTCCCTGGAGAGGAGGCAGGTGTGTGACAAAAGGCTGCTGACAACAGGCATTTCTGTCCACCGAGTGATTGAAATTGTTTATTGTCCCGGTAGCAAAAGCCTCTGGCTTCGTACTCCCGGATGATTAAGTAGTTAGAGACAAGGAGCTTATCCAAAGGATGCTTGGTGTTTGAATTGATCCAAACTGGAGGAGCTCTGACTGTCACCTGAACAATCAAGGTGACCTGCTCGTTGCGAGTTAGTTTTTGGGTGTTCCCTCTGATGCGGGAAGGTGCTCAGTGGTTCCTCAGAACAAAACAGCTTATGAGTGCCAAAGTAAGCCTTGGAAACATTCAGGGAAGAATACTATTAACTCTCCTTCTCTTGGTTTTTAGGGAAAAGGGAGGTTTCCTTGCTTTAATTGTTGAGTTCTGAGATGTTTCACATTACTCTTGTTATGTTCAAATTACATACCATTGCAGTCAACTGTTTAAGAAATTGAGAATAAGTGTTACTGGATACCTGACCTCTGAGTAAGTTGAGAGCACAGCTAAAATCTTTTCCTTGGGAAAAATGTGTTAAGCAGAGCTGATTTTTACATCCAGAACTTGGTGCTTGTGCATGAAGAATGTGAAGACACTAACTGCAGAGTGGTTATGTAGGACTACTTTTTTTTCATCAGTGATTATGTAGGACTGTTTGTTTTTTAATGTTTTCATCAGCATTCATGACAAGTTGACTGATCTGAGCTGCACTGCTTTTGCAGCATAAATGGGAAGACAGAAATCATTAGGGAGAGGATGGAAGTGGCACAGTGAAGAGGAGGCAATGTGACTTCTTAGTTGCATTGGAGGACAAAGAGGGGGAAACAGTGGCAGGACCTGCAGCTCTGTTTGGGGGTGTCCAACACCAGTGCCTTGAAAAGTAGTGCAGCACATATGATTTCCAAGAGATACCTTTGGGGACATGTAGATGGTTGGGCAGATGGGCCAACATGGAAATCCTGACCAGCTACAGAAATCTTTTCCAATACAGATCCGCATTAAAAATACTGAATTTTCTAATAGACAAATGTGCAGATGTTGGGCCCTGCTTATGACACCCTCCAAACAACAGATGACAGTGATCAGCCTCTGAACTCTTCAAAAGTATGTTCAGCTGAAGAAAATTCATGAGTGTTTTGCTTTTGACCTTACACACATTCTGTTGATATTGATGCAAGGTACCTGTGAAGGTAAAAGGAATGGAAGAAGTCCAGATTTTGTGTGCATAGTGAAAAAAGAAAAGAAAGGCAGCTGAAAGGCCCTTGTCATGAGAAGTCAGGAGAGGAGGAGAAGGGGATTCAATCCAAAAAATGCCAAGTGGAATTGCACTGAGTGCTGTAATGGGCAAAGCACAGCAAAGGTATGGCTGTGAGCACAGTTGACCTTACAGTGTCAGCTGTGCAAGTACTGGAGCAGGGTTTAATATGTTTATGTAGCTGATAAGATTTCCATTAGGGATCACTATCAAGCAAGGAAAGCACACAAGGCTTTTGGATGGAAAGCCTGTGTGCTTTCCTAAAAGACCTCCAGAAAAGAAATTGTACTGTTCCAGGTTGCAAAGTCTCCAAAACTATCAGTGCAGGAGCAAATAAGGCCTAAAATAGTACATTTAAAAATTTGCAGAAATAAAACACATTTCACATTTGCAGAGTATATTCTGATCCAGAGGAACAAGAGCTCTTAGACTTTTTGAGTGGCTGTCTTTTGAAAGGTCTGCACAAATAATTGTTCACCCAGCTCCCTTCCCCCTTCGGCTCTGTCCCAACACAAGCCCTGGAACCAGAGTAACTAGAACCAAATTCTTTGAGTGCATGAGAAACCAAATACAATGGGAACTGAACTTATAAATGTATTAATCTGGTGCAAGGCCTAAAAGGGAAACCAGTGCTAAAGGAACTGTGTGCTGCAAGAGCTCTTTCACCTCTTCTATCAATGCTCAGGCAGAACGAACAAAAGATTGTTTTATTTTATTCCTCTTTCTCCCTTCAGCGCGTTACTGTGCTGGATTCTTGTGTTATTTAGATCATAATTCTTCTAGTGCAGGGGGGTTTGAAATGTGTTCCTAAACAGAAGCCTTTGAGCTCTCTCCATCTTCCCTGCAGAACGGCAGCAGTTCCGGGTGCACCATGGCCGAGCCGAAGTCGGTGTGTGTTTCGGTGGACGAAGTGGTCTCCAACGGCACAGACACCCAAGACATTCGGCTCATGAATGGACACTTAAAAAAGGTGGACAATGCTCTGACAGAGGCTCACCGTTTCTCCTACCTACCCCGCAGACCAGCCGTGAACATTGAGTTTAAAGAACTGTCCTACTCCATCCAGGAAGGGCCGTGGTGGAGGAAGAAAGGTGAGGAAGACAGTGCTTCATCTACAAGAAACTGTAGATGCAGCAGTTTGTACAACTGCTTATTTTTGCCTCCCAATTCTAAAGTATCTGAAGTAAATATGGTATTGCTGTGCTGCCAAATATCTGTCCTGTGATCTTGCATGTCTACAATTTATTGTTGAGGGTGGGTAGAATATGCAGCAGTTTAAAGATGGGGGTGGGGGGGAAAGAGGAGGCTTTTTTCTTTTACTCTTGCAACTGGCTGTTTTGTGAAATGGTTATTTTTTTCAGTACTCCTTCGGAACAGCGAGTATCTCAGAATTTCAGAAGGCATCTGACACCAGGATAAAAAACATTTTCTTAAAATGCTGAGCTTGGAAATAAATGCTTTGAGCTGTAGGAATGTCAGCCCATCCGTGCCTCTTGGTGTTCTACGAGGGATCTCTCTAAGCTGATAATTCCTTTTAACTGATGGAATCACTGGCTCTTGCTAGGACTGAATCCTGAGGTTTAGTCAAAGACAAAGATGCTCTTTTGCTACCTCCTTTGGTGATATACACAGCAAAGAGTTCACAGCCTACAACACAGGGCGTACCAAAATGATACAGATATTGGGGGCATCTTCAGAAAGAGAAGTGTTGGGAGTAACAAGGGCATATTCAGCTCTGTTCTTTATATGCCATTGGTCAGTTCCATCTCTGAAAAGTTGATGTAAGGTGACTCTGTCATTTCTCCTGGGCTTGGCATCCATTCCTTTTATACCTTCACTTGCTTTGTGTAGCCTTGTGTTTCCTAGAGAGTTTTTGGGTTTTGTGTGTGCATGTGACTAGTCATCTCTGAAAGGAAAACTAGGTCGTGCAGTAAATTCCTGCTAGTGAAAAGAAGTATGCCCAAGAGAAACTATTGAAATCTGCGGGAGAATTTTGTGTATTAAATGGCATAATTGCTCTTCCTTGAGGAATTCTCTCTCAGTAATGTAAACTGGTATGGTTGTGTGCTTTAGTTCTTTTAAGAGATAAGCCCCTGCCAATGGACTGCTCACCTGAGCCATACTTCATACCTGCACAGGCTCTGCATCTATAAATCCACTGGCTTAAACATTACACTTGAAATTGTTTCACAAAGTACATTGCTGCTGTCTGGAAATTGTGTCATTATCACAACATCAAGGCCTTAATGGTCTAAAAATGTGTGGTATGAAAAACACTGGAGCTGTTGCCATGAAAGTGCTACTGTACATGGACAGCCTGTGCATACAATTATTCATTTGTTGAAGGATCTACAGATTTCATGCTTTAATGGGTTTTTCAACATCAGAACTGTATGTACACACACTGGCCATCTTTTATTTATCTATTAAAATTGCATGGAGCCGTGCTGTCCATAGGAGAACAATTGGTTTGGCAGCAACTTCGGTGCATTCAAAATTATGTTTTATCTTATCAGAATGAACTCAAACGTCGAAATGGAGCAAGGCCAAGATGTCTCGTGTGAGATTTAAAAGCTTGAGATCTCTAACTGGGTGTCTTTCTCACTGGCCAGAAATGATTGAGGGGTTCTTTGTTCACATTTGCTGACATGCCTTGACTTGGCTTGAACTGAATGGCACGTCCTGGCAAAATGTCCTGCTGCTGAAAATGACCTGTTGAGGTATTTAGCTCTAGGGTATGGCTATGACTGTGTCACTACACTTAGGTTTGAAAGAGGAGATTAAACTTTTCTAGCTGTCTGTGTTCTCTCCTCCTCACTGTGTGTCTTTCCTGGGGCCACCGAGGGCACCCTCAGAGGGGCTGTGAGGTTGTGTCTGCCAGCAGGGCTTGGCATTCTTCTTCTTGACAAGGACCTAAAACAGCTCTGGGAGGTCTACAGTCCATGCCAAGTGACTGTGAACCAAAGTGTGCTCTCATTGCCAGTAAGATAAACCATATAATGTACTGCCTTTGGAGGCCATGGCCAGGTGGAGCCAAGTTGTTATCTTTCCTGGCATCAGTGAGAGCACAACTGGGATATTGTACCCATTGTTGGGCCCTCCAGATCCACAGAGATATTGGGAAGCTGGAAAGGGTCTGTCAGAGGGGTAAAAAATTATTCAGGGGGCCTACAAAAAATAGCTGAAGAAACTCAATATATTGGTTTTAATAGAAGAGATTTTTCATTAGAGAAAAGAAAATTGAATTGCCTGAATAGTCTCCAGTGAAGGTAAGGCCCAAACGATCAGATTCCTTGAATTGTTTTAGTGGTTCTGCGAGCAAAATTTTTTGTGTGTGTGCAATTTGGGATATTCTCTGTTTCACACTGATTGATTTGTAGATGAATGAATTACATGTAAAACTGTTCTAAATGCCTTATACTGGTCTCTCCTCCAGTGGGAAAATGGGACTTTTCAGTGGGTTTTAATCTGCCACTGCTCAACAGAAGGGCAATACTGGGCCTCCTAACACTGGTGGTGGTCGTAGTTCTACACTCCTTGTGGATTCCCTGTGCTAAAAGTCTCAGTGATGTGATGTGAAATGTTTGAATTCACTTTTTTATGAGAAGAGGAGCAGAAAACACTAGGACAGTCCAGTATAGGAAATGCAACTGAAGTAAAATTGTGTGCACAAGTTGGGGGAAAAAAAAAAAGGGAGATGTCTCAGTTCACATTGTTCTTGAGTGCTGGTTGTGGTAAGAAGCGATAAGGGAAGCTGTTTAAAAAATGTGCCTTTTAAATTAATGGTGTTTCTATTCTGAAATGGAGCTTGGGAAAAAAAAAATACTATTTCTACATCATTCTCCATGACTGTAATGAATTAGTTAAACCCCTTCAAGAGTGTTGGATCACAAAGGCAGAAGCATAGTTTCCTTACAAAGCTGATTCCTGCCAGAGTGTTGGAGAGGAATTCAGCTAAAGAGCAACTCCCTTCAGTAAAAATGGTATTGCAAAATGATGTTAAGGTTAGGCTCCAGATTAACAAAAGGAGGAATAATTAGTAGTGCTGCCACTGTGTTCTGTACTTAGCTTGATTGTTCAGAACAATGAAACTCATGGTATGTCATGTCATTTACTTTTCATTAAAAGCACAAAAAAGGTAAATTTGCATTGCTTGTCAACAAGAAAGAAGCTAAATAAGCTGTAGTAGACTTCAAATTAGAATTTTTCATTGATTTGTGTGTCAGCCTTTAAATGCCTAATTTATCTATTGAATCTCTTTTTCTCTTGTAAAGGAGGGAGGGGCATTTTGATTCTAAGGTTTATGTGATAAATGCCTCTCTGCTCATGGTGTTTTATCAAATTCATAGCAAAGATTGGTGTGACTCTGGAGCTGATTCATTCCTGGTGTAATTCCTCTTGTGGTCAGGGGCATTTACAGGGAAGGAAGGTGGCAGGTCAGTCCTTGATCAAAGCTTGATGGAATGGTATGTGACCCATTCCATTCAGGAGGAGCTGTTGCTCCTGTATGGGAATTTGGAAAAGCTGACAGAGGTAAAAGTTCCAGAAGGTCTCAGATGACTTTGGTGTTTTCCCCATAAAGCTTTTAGGGAACCAGTCAACAGAGAGAGTCAAACTGTTTCTTTAGTTTTGAAGGATTTTTAAGTGACTTGATCCAGATCAGGTCAAGGATCTTCCATAACTGAAAATGTGTCTCAGTCCTTGTTCAAGCATGTTCTGGGGGTTTCCTGTGGGTCAGCGAGTTTCAGGATTTATTTAAGAAAGGTGCAGGACTCCTGGAGTAACTGTTGTAAGATTAGTTAGTCCAAGAATGCCTTCTCCTTTCTTTTAGGACAAGGGAGCCAGCTGGCCTGGAGGTGAAGAGAAAAATGAGAGTCTTATGTTAGATCCAGTGTGGCTCTTTAAATATGGGAATAGCAAGATCTGCAGAGTTTCAGAACAAAATGTGACCAAAAGTTGTACTGTCTCATAACAAAGCCATTTATGTAAGGCTTGAGAAAGAGATGAAAGTGGGTCTTATCTTGGCTTCTGAGCTGTTTGTTTAAACTGCAGTTTGAAATGCAAACCACAGAAACCTAGATTGGTTTTACCAGTTCGTAGAAAAATTAGAGACTTGTAGGTTTTAATACTAGGACTGCCTGAAAACTGTTTGCAGGGGGATTTCATAGAAAAGTCAATGCCTCAGGTTTCTGCCATTTTTTGTTAAAAGCACCATAAAGTAATCTGAATTGTGATTTGGGGATGAATTATGTATGGGCCCACATACAAAGAGGGCAGGACAAGTACTTTGGAGCTTTCCGTCTTGGTCAAATTCATTCAGCTTTACCTAAAAAAGATACATATGTTCTATATACCCAGCAAAGGACATTTGTTCTGTTGTTTCTAGGTGGTTTTGCTATAATACAGGATGGAAATGGAAATATTCTTCCTATAGAACTTGAGTGCACCCGGGAAGAAAGTAGTAATAAATTTGCTTTCAAAACTCCACAACAACTCAGGGATTTCTTTTTTTTTCCCCCCTTCTCCGCCCTCCCCCCCCCCACTTGTCAGTATTCATGGTTAATTAGGCAACGTTTTAGTTGGAAATTTCTCCGTTGTTATTTTTAGGACTGTAATGACTCATTTGTGCTGCGTTCAAGAGTAAGTTCTGCTAGGATTTGGTCTTTAGTAACCTCGGAGGGAGCGGGATTCAGCCGGTCAAAATCCAGCCGGGTGCTTCTGTGGAGGGGGTTTGGTACCGATACAGAAATTCATGGTCAGCAGAAAAAACTGTGCTATTTCTTGTTATTTTGGGTTTGTGCTAATGGCTCAAACCCTGTGGAAGCAGTCAGCTGGAGGGGTGCTGTCTTTTCTGTCAAGGTTGTTGTTTAGTGGCTTTGAGATTCAGGAGTGGCAGGGGAGGAATGAGGGACTGGGCTTATCCTGGGTGGCTCCCTCGTGTCCGGTGGGGAAGCACGGAGTCTTTGGCAGGTTGTTTGGTATTCGTGAGCTGTGAAAGGTGGCCATCACAGTCCGAGATAGTGTCATCAGAACCGCGAGATCCCTGCATTTCAGCTCGGAGGGCTGTGTATTATGTTAATGCTGTTCCCTG